TGCCTACCTAAACCACTTGTCATATGGACTTGGCAAATGAAAAAGCTACGTATAAACAGACATATGTGCAAAAAAGTTCTACCCAAAAGTGTTAAGTGGAAAGCAAATAGTAGCCCGACACCCTCCCCCCCTCGGGCTCTTGGATGGTCTTCCAGGTTTGCTAGATTATTCTTTCTTATAAAATCTGGATCTGGAGTCTTTACTAGTAGAAGGGCACAAGGTTGGTGATAGAACAGTTAATTGAAAAGTGCCAAAAATCCCTTAATTAAGTACCTCCCAGAGACACCAAGAGAACCTGTTACAGCAATTATATACCATAAAAATGTTTGAATGAAAATAGCTTTAATATAAAAAAATAAAAAAAAACATAGGTCACAAATCAGCAGCCAAAGGGCAGGCTTTGTGAGCCAAGCAGTTCTTAATTGCCACCCTATTTCTCAATGTTATGACTATCTATGATGCCGATAACTCTTTAATGTCTATAGTAGGATTAGAAAAATTCATTTTCTTTCAATCTATTTTATTGCAAATTTAAACAGTAATAAACAAGGACAAAGGTATTACATATCCTGGAACTTAGAGAATGTGATTTTCAATAAACCATAGTGATTTCTTTATGATGCTTGAGAATGTAATGATTATTAGAGAGTATAAAACATTGTTTCAAAACACAATTCTTTGCAGTAACAATTCTATACTCCTTGGTTACATCTATATTTATTTCTGTATATTTCCTTTGTCAAAGTGCATTCCGTGAATGAAGGTCTGTATGGTTAGACAGATGGAGCACAAGGTGATATTTTGAAATCATGGTAAATTTATAAAAATCCTGTCCTAGAAACTATTATTTCTAGACAAAGATATCAGAATGATTATTGTAGATTTCTCTGTTTATCACAGATAATTTCGATGTAAAAGGTTAATGGTTTTTCCAACCTTCCAAATGTTATTAAAAAAATCAAAAACAGATTAAGCAGTTTATGCAATGTTCCTGTTTTGTACTAACAAGTATTCTATTTCCCAAAATACATACCCCTAATCAAAATTTAAATGTGAATTAATAATAATGTCAACAATATTTCCGAGGTATATACTGAGGTCAGATTGATGCAAAACAATAAAGAAAAACAAGATTGCTCATCATTTTATCTGATGCGGTTTTAGTAGCAGATCCAGAAGGTAAACCCTGAATATGAGCAATACACAATGCTCTCATGTGGTATTAGGCCTCTGGTATAGGTAATCACTCCAAATGAAATCCATATAGACATATGTTGAAATAGAAGACTAACACCATTAAGCATCAGAATTCAGGATATCGTAACAAATCAATCAATTCTTTCAATTTACTATTTTAAAGGGACACTGTTGTCACCAGAACAACTACAGCCTAATGTACGTGTGCTGGTAAGTATAGTCAGTCCCTGTAGGCTTTTTGCAATAAACTCTGTGTTTTCAGAGAAAAGGCAGTGTTTACATTATTGTCTAGAGAAACCTTCAGTTGCCACTCCTCACCACTGTGCAGTACTGAAACATAGAAACATAGAAACATAGAAACATAGAATGTGACGGCAGATAAGGACCATTCGGCCCATCTAGTCTGCCCAATTTTCTAAATGCTTTCATTAGTCCCTGGCCTTATCTTATAGTTAGGATAGCCTTAAAACTGTCATTCAGTGTCTTCAAAATCCTCATGGAGACACAGAACTTTCCTCATAAAGATGCATTGGTGAAATACATCTCTAAGGAGATGCTGATTGGCCAGGGTGGCATTTGGCTCCACCCCTGGCTCACCTCATTGGTTGAGATAATCAGAATTGACTATCTCAGCCAATCTAATGCTTTTCTTTTTTTTTTTAATTGACAATTTTTATTTTCATATTTTGCAGAAAAGTAAACAATGTGAGGGATACAGAATAAGAAAGGGGTAGGGAGAATATTACACATTGTTATACATGACAAACTTTCCTGATATTTATACATTATTAGCATTATGCTTGTTTGTATGTGGTGTCTTATTTCTTTGGTTGGTTTTGTGGACGAGGTTATGCAACAAATCTAAAGAAGTTGGGCAAGGGGTGATGTACTTACAGAAACATAAATATATAAACATATTTACAACCTATGGTGTAATTTTGATTGGAAGAGTTGATGGATTTAGCGCTTAGTGACCAGTAGATAGCTAGAATAAAAAAGTTAAAAAGGGCGCAACCTAAGGGTATGATGTTCCCTCACAAACCATCAAAGGAGTACACAATGTAAAAACGGATAAGATAGGTTGCGCCACACAAATAATATGTATGTTAAAACCAATGGGTACTTAAATAAAATGCTAAAACGGGAACAGGGTCCTGAATGAAATGAGTAAAATAATTTAGTCCAAGTTAATTGAAGAGATAAATGAATCCAGTGGATCTATAAGTCCTGAGATAATCCAATGTCCAAATGGCGTAGAGGCATGAAAACAGAAAAATAAATTCCAATAGTGTAAAACCGTAGATACCAGTTCGGCAGGGCCGGACTGGGAAAAAATTCGACCCAGGCATTTTTTTATCACAGCGGCCCACCAAGAAGGGGGTGGGCGAGAGAGGGGGTGTTTTGTCCTCACTAATGACAAACACGTGCCCTCTCAAAGTGAGCATGTTGGTTTAATGCTCTTCCAGTGCAGACCATGCGCAGAGCTCTGCTGAAGAGCTCTAGCATGAGAAAAAAGCCCTGTATTTGTTCTGCACAGTGCAAGCAAATTTAATAACATGCTTGTACTGTGTTTCCTTGCAACTTGTCTCTGGTGTCTCTATAAATGGATACCAGGAGACAAACATGCCAGGAAAGAGTATTGTGCATGTGTTTGGAGCCTGCTTGTGGGATTGCATCTGTGTAGAGTGAGCTGATTGTGTTGTGGTATTGTGTAATAAGGTCGGTTTTAGTCATGTTGTGTTTGTGTAATGTAATGCATATGTGGCTAGGGGCTGTAGAGAATGTGTGTATAGGTGATGTAGCAAGTGTGTGCATACAGGCTATAGTGTGTGTGTGTGTGTATAGGTGATGTAGTGTTTGTAGAGAGTGTGTGTTTAGGGGTGTAGTATGTGTGTGTGTATATATATATATATATATATATATATATATATATATATGAGTCTAGTGTGTGTTTGAAGGACCCAGAATGTGTATAGGAGATCTAGTGAGTGTGCATATATAACAGATTCAGAGTGTATATAGGGATCTAGTGTGTGTATGTGTGTAGATGATCCAGAGTTGGGTAAGGGATCTAGTGTGTGTCGGGAAGTAATGTGTTTAGGGGTGTAGTATGTGTGTGATGAATGCTGTGTGTGAGGCGTGCTGTGTGGGATGTGTGTGAGGGAGGTATGTGTGAGGGTGGTGTGGGTGCTGTGTGTATGAGGGTGCTGTGGGTGCTGTGTGTGAGTATGCTGTGTGTGTGGGTGCTGTGTGTGATGGTGCTGTGGTGCTGTGTGTGAGGGTGCTGTGTGTGAGGGTGCTGTGGGTGCTGTGTGTGGGGGTGCTGTGTGTGTGTAGGTGCTCTGTGTGTGAGGGTGCTGTGGTGCTGTGTGTGAGGGTGCTGTGGTGCTGTGTGTGAGGGTGATATATGTAATTGATTTGTGTTAGGGTGCTGTGTGTGATGTGAGTGAGGGTGCCGTGGGTAATTTGTGTGTGTGTGAAAGTGCTGTGTGTGATGTGTGTGAAAGTGCTGTGTATAAATGTTAGAAGGTATTGTGTGTTGGGGGGGTAATTAAACAAATAAAAAAAAAAGAAGGCATTATATTCCCCCCTCCCTTCTTACCATTAGCCTGGGGGGGCCGGCACGGTTGTACTAAGGAGAGGGGGGGGAGGACACTCCCTGGTGGTCCAGTGGTTAGTGAACTCTAGCCTGCGAGGATAGAGTTTACTCTCACGAGATGGGGGTGTTGCCGTGGCAATGCTCCGGATCTCACAAGAAGAACCCGGTGGAGCTGCAAGATAGAGCTCCGCCGGGTCCTCCTCTCCCTCCCCAGCCGATTGTCTATTACAAAGGGGCCGGTGAGGGAGATCTTTAATCTCCCCACCGGCCCATGAAGGCACACACCGGGGCCGGCACTCAGATTGTGCCGATCCTTCATAGACCGTCAAGGGATGTCCTGTGACCTCCTCTGCTGTCCTCGGCCCGTAGCCACCACAGCCCACCGGGCCTTTGCCAGGCGGAATATGATAGTAGTAGTACTTCTCCTACTCACCTAGTTGAGAGCTGGAGCCAGCTCAAGTGTACACCGCATTCATTAGCATTGATCCCCCACTGGTAGTATATAGGTGTTGGTACATACATTCAGCACCCACACACATACAGCACCCACAGACATACACAGCACCCACACACATACAGCACCCACACACATACAGCACCCACAGACATACATAGCACCAACACACATACAGCACCCACACACACATACAGCACCCTCACAAACACACAGCACACAAACAGCACCCTCACACACACACAGCACACTAACAGTACCCTCACAAACACAAACAGGACCCTAACAAACACACACACAGCACACTACCAGTACCCTCACACACAAACAGCACCCTCACACACAGTACATTAACAGCACCCTCACAAGCGCACACACACACAAACAGCACCCTCACACACAGTACATTAACAGCATCCTCACAAGCGCGCACACACAAACACCCTCACCCACATAGCACACTATCAGCACCGTCACACACACATCACACTAACAGCACCCTCACACAGCATACACACACAGCAGTGTGTGTATGTGTGTATATATGTGTATGTATGTATATATATATATATATATATATATATACATATACATATACATACAGATATATATATATATACATACATACATATATATATGCGGCGTGTGCCTGTGCTTTAGGGTGCACACCCTAATGCAATAGGCTGCGCACGCCTATGGACTTGATGTTAGTCATGATTCTGAAAATAAGTTAACATTCATGATTTTTAAAGGGGGTAACAGGATTTAAACCTGAGACCTCTTGAACTACAGTCAAATGCACTACCACTGAGCTATCTATACCCCCAAAACATATATATAGGAACAATGTCTTTATTAACAACAATATAGCCTGCCTTTAAGAACCAGGTTTAGAATTCTTCTTTATGGAGCTTATGGACTATAAATGGTGGGATTCCCATATTAGGAAAATAGAGAGGGAGATATATGAATAGCATAGTAGGGAAAACAGTATGAGAAAAAAAAAAGGAAAAAGATATAAATGTAAAAATATAAATAATGGAAAAAATATTAAAAGAAAAATAATGACGGAAAAGTATATGAAAAAAAAGAAAAAGATAAAAAATGTAACAATATAAATGTAATAATTGTAAAAATAATAATAAATTTAATATAATGACGGAAAAGTATATGAAAAAAAGGTATAAAAACTGTTGTAGGGGGGCGGGGCCTGGCAGGCTAACTGAGCAGACACACGTTGAATGAGCTCCTGGGCCAAATCAACGAAAATCACGAATAGCGGCAGCTAAGCAGCGGATTTTACTGCAAAACTCAAGGGCTGAACAGAGGGGATCGCGGTGATCTGAACGACACCAAACTCGGAACCGTGCAGACCCAGATTACCAGCATTTAACCACCTGCGGCCTACAAGCTTCTCAGGCGTCGGAGAGACGGCCGCTCTCCGGTGCCCACGCTGAACCCCGTTAATAATAGTGGATCACCTGCATCCGACCCCCCCTTTTTTGGACCGGGGGGGTTATCCCGGTGCCAGGAGGCCCTCCACGACTATACTCGCTACCTCTTGGGCTATACTGCAGAGCAGCATCCAAGATGGCAGAGCGCACAAGCAACTTCACAACCGAGGCCTACCTAGTAGCCTCTCAAGCACGGTTGAATCTGATATTTGACAAATTTTGGGCACAATTGGCAGCACGGCAGATGGTCACATCACAACCCGTCCAACATACAGCCAAACCTGAGAAATCACAGACTTACCTGCACAGCCCTGCCAAGCACCCAAAACTGCCAAGCACCCAGATAAACCTGCGGCGCCCCCGCAAAAAGCTACGAAAGCTGAAAATACATATGCCTGTCTCCCCATGGAGGCTTGCAAAACCAGGGGGAAAGCACATGGCGGCGAATAGCACAGACAATGGCCAAGCTAAAGGGACTCTAACACCCACAACCGCACAAGATGGCAGACCTATGTGCAGGAGCACCACGAGGCACTCAGGCGCAGTACAACCTCACACCCTCAAGAAAGGTACAGACCCGCAAGACATCTACCCATTGCAGAGCAAACAACGACCTCCCCACAGACTGGGCATCGGATGAACGGGTGAGAAGCCACGGACGGTCTTTTGGCATGTCCCAGCAAGGACGCTGACACGGACGACAATACAGACCCTGTTTAACCAGGCGGACTCTCGTTATACCTATGTTTTCTTTTTTGGTCCCATTCATACCTATACCCCAACTTTGCCTCCGAGAATGATACATGGACGCATTCTCTGCCTAACACCCAGAACAACAAATTTCTGAGTATTGCATGCTAAACACAAAGCCTTGAGAAATATGCCTTTACCATGTATTACTTTCTTCTTTGCACACTCCCCATGCTCTAAATGCTGTCACTGCAGTACACCTTTCCACTGACACTGCACCCACCATAGCTTGTTCACCTAATGGACCATTTGCTATATTGCTAAGTCCACCTGACCGCACAGATTATCAATAGATAATATATAATGTACATATCGGGTTTATCCCACTGTAACAGCTACTATTAAGATTCAGCGCTGTCTACTCCTGTAGCTAGACATCTTAGTCTAATCTACAGATCATCTTGTTCTTATAATACCAGAATAGATATATTCTATATGGCTAGAAGTGTTCCCGCCAGACAAGCATATTACGCACTGATCGCTTTAAGACATGAACACTTAATCTGAACATGTTGCTTTTAAAAATTGTGCTGTTTTTTCACATGCTGACCAACTGTTAACAAATGTTTTTCTGTATACTTGTCAATGCTGTTGGGGCATGACGAGATAAATTGTTATACTTCCAAGCACTCCAAAAATAAAGAATAAAAAAAAAATGTTTTAGAAAATTAAAAATCTGTTATAGAAAATTAAAAAGATCAAATTCAACAATAAGGCCATCTGGAGAGAGGGTCTTTAGCTGAAAAACCCAATACATTTCTCTTTTTCCCAAAATATTTCTTCTATTGCCACCTCTCCAAGGGGTTTTACAATGTTCAAGGCCAATACATTTAAGTAATTTGGGGTCTTTGTTATGTTTTATAAAGTGTTGAGGCACAGAGTGGTTTTCATAACCTTTGATAATATTGCGACAATGCTCTGCGAGTCTTATTTTTAGGCATCTTTTAGTCATACCAATGTATTCATGGGCACAGGGGCACTCTAGCAGATAGATAATATTTTAGAGTTACACCCGATAAAATCTTTGATTGGGTAGGAGTTAACGGTATTGTTGGAGGAAATATTAGTGGTTTTAAATTTGGTTGTTGGGTCTGTGGTTTTGCACACAATGCATTTATTACACTTAAAAAAAAAACTTAGGTTTTGGTAAGAAGCTTGTGGTGTTTTTGTTTTTTTAGTGTAATTTTTAGTAAGAATACTTTTAAAACTGGGAGCTCCTCTAAATATAATGTGGGGTTTCTCGGGATTTGGTCCTTTAGGAGATCGTCTTGTTTAAGGATATGCCAGTGTTTATTTATTATATTTTTCATAGTTTTATTTTTACTATTATAGTCCAGAATAATGGGTAGTGTCGGAGGGTCTTTATCTTTTTCTTTTTTACTTTTATATTCTAACAAATCTTTCCTCTCTTTGGTGCTTACTACATTCAGAGCTGCATCCAATTTATCTGAAGGGTAATTTTTCTCGATAAACTTGTTACTTTGAGAGCAGTTTTGATGGAGTCGGAGAAATTGACTTTTGGGGATACCGTCTAACCAGGGCTTATGATGGCAACTAGATGACAACCCATTGGTTTTACCATACATATTATTTGTGTGGCACGACCTATCTTATCCGTTTTTACATTGTGTACTCCTTTGATGGTTTGTGAGGGAACATCATACCCTTAGGTTGCGGTCCTTTTTACCTTTTTATTCCAGCTATCTACAGGTCACTAAGCGCAGAATCCATCAACTCTTCCAATCCAAGTCTTTTTTCCACAGGAGACAGCTGCTGTGTGACCACTAGAAGCAATGTCTATTTTTGAATTTAGAAGTAATTACACCATAGACATCAACCATGTTTTCGATACTAATAATAGTGACTTAATCTGTGATAGTCGTCCAAGTCTAAACCAACAAGAATTATTTAGAAAATTAGAGAAAGCTCTATCATCTAAGATAAAATTAAAAATGGGAGATAGCTACTCTCAAAAAAATATATAGAAGAACGAATCACTCCCAGAGGTCTTGGATTGCACAAATTACCCACTTCAGACCAAGATGATGAAGAATTTATGAATGATTGGTTCAATAAATTAGAAATGTGCACCCTAGGCCTTATGGAAACTTTAATTATAAAAAAGTAAAAAGCTTTCCACTTTAGACATTGAAATAAATGAGCTAAAAGATAAACTCTTACCCTTCACAGAAACTCAAGCTGAAAAACAGTACATATACAAAGCAAAATAGAAAAACTTGAAACAGACACTAAGCATATCAAAATAAAAAAATATATGAGACAAACGAGATTATAGTAATAATCAAGTCAGAACATATCATCTAAACAAGAAATACAAATCAGAAGTGAAACACTTGGAGTACGAATATACTCAGAATACTCACTCCAATAACCCTCACTACTACCAAAAATCCGATCACTACCCCACTTTGGTCCCCCCCCACCGTCAACGTCAGAATATCTATTATCCACAATACAGATACCCAAAATCATCTTAATACCAACACAGAGACCACATCAGACACTACTCTTCACCCAAGACAAAGGTCACCTATAAGACAAAGATCACTACAAAATGATAGACCACCTTCTTACCATACAAAAAAATACAACACAACATCACCTGACTACCAAAATTTTCCTCACCATACCACAACATCCAAACAAAACCACAATTCTTTCACACATAACACCTCTATTTATAGGAATATTACTCCCAGATCACAAAGAACCCGTTTTGGACTAAGACGTAAAGATCCCCCAAAATCTCCAGTTGACTACAACCATAGCAACAGATATCAGCTATTATCAATTGACTCAGAGATAGACAATGAAGATAATTTTTTAGACATCCGCACACACAACCCCTCACATATACAAACTCCCTACCTACCCAGAGCAAGAAAAAGAAGTCTGAGTATAGAGAAAGGAGAAGTGGCAGAAGACTACAAGAGAGAAAGAATAGAAAGACAATAACTAAAATAAATGAAAAAGATCTAGGCATCTTTAACCTGTCCCAGAAAGCTCTGACATCTGCCCAAATTTCGGTTCTAAGTAAAGGGTTAAAATATGCCCCCACCAACCACCTTTCCAGGCGTTTATAGACATCAATAAGTTTGTAAGGAAAGCTACTATTAAAAGATTTTTTACTCTTAACAAAACTACTTCCATAAACTCACATCCAGCGAATTATAATCCCAATTTAGATAACACTTCTAATACTTCTGTCATATGCACCAATCTAAAAAATCCTTTGAAAGTCTACCCCTTCAATTTCAAATCAGGTCCCATTGAGGTTTTTGAAAAACTCGTTCTAAAAGATTTTGAAAACATCAAACACAATAAATATGAGTATCAAAATTTATCACAGAAACAATGGAAAGCACTAAAAGAACTACAAAAATATGAGGAAATTATAATAAAACCTGCCGATAAAGGAGGTGGTCTAGTCATCTTACCAAAATATATGTATATAAAAGAGGCCATTCGCCAACTGGGAGATACAGAAGTAAACGAGAAACTACCTCATGACCCTACCCCTAAGATAAAAGCCACTCTACAAGAATTACTTGTTAAAGGCCTCCATTCCGGAATTTTAAATAAACAAGAATTTGACTACCTC